TCAAACGACAGTATCAGAGCTGGTGTTCTTATATCAACATCTCGTACTGTGGGGGCAACTGCCTTTCTAAGTGCTCAGCAAATGAGCATGTGTTTTGAGGGTTTGGGGGAAATTGTCCCGTTTTAGTTACCGCTGGTCCTCCAGCGTTTCAATGTGAGGAACAGCCTCTTTCTTCTTGACCCCAGAAGGGTGCCCTTTGGGTCTTCCGTTTGGGACTTCGAACCTGGAGCATGTGGTTAAGGATAGGTGGTGTTGGGTTTGTGATGGTAGTAAAGGCTGGATGTGCTGGAGGAAGCCTGGAGTCAAACCCTTGGGAGGTTAGAGAGGAGACAATGGATTTAAAGTCATCCTTGGGCTACACAGTGAACCTGAGGGCAGCCTGGGTTACACGGGGACCCTGTCTCAAACAATCCCCTTTGAAGTTAGCTACAGTAGTCACCGTATCTGTGTTTATCTTAACAAAGACTCCCTGTGGATGTCTGAAGCACAGCTCTTTTGTCTATGCTTTTCATGTATGGTACACACATACAAACACACAGATACAAAGACACACACACACAGAGGCACACACAGGCATACGTGTGCATGTGTATACACACACACAAGAGTTTGAACTTAAGCACAGTGAGAATTTAACAATAACAAATAATAAAACAGAACATTAAAAGATTTTAAAGCATTTATTTATTTTTATTTTACATGCATGAATGCTTTGCCTGCATGTATGTATGTGCACTGTGTACGTGCCTAGTACCCTTGGTGGTCACAAAAGGACACTGGATCCCCTGGAACTGGAGTTGGACAGTTGGGAGCCATCATGTGTGCTGGGAACTGAATCCTTGGCTGGAACTGGGGTCATGGATGTCTGTGGGCTGTCGTGTGTGTGTGTGTGTGTGTGTGTGTGTGTGTGTGCTGGGAAGTGAGCTTGTGTCCTCTGCAAGAGCACCAAGTGTTTTTAACCACCAAGCCGTCTCTCCAGCCCGAGTCAGGACAATTTAATCATATATTGTCATAGCATGACATGAGTGTGGCATCCCCTGTTCTCTAACCACAGCTCTCACGCCATGATTATGCTTTTCCTTGTGAGGGCGTGAGAGGGTGCCACCGGAGAGATGACAAGATGAGCGGAAGACACTGTGGCACAGTGTTAGGCCGCTGACCTCTGATGGGGCAGTGTGCCTCCTGACATTGAAGTGTGTGGGTGGGAACTCCTTAGCAGAGCGTCTTACACACATAGCAGCCAAGGCAGCCATCTTGCAACTTGTCAACAGAGAAAGAAAAATGTAAATAAAGCCCAAGCAATCCACCACAGTGGGGAGTCCTGCCTGGGGAGGAGAATCAGGAAAGCAGACTTCCTGTCTCTCACATCTTCCTGTCTCCCATTCAGCTGACAGACCCTTATCCTTCTCTCTCTTCCCACAAAGCAGTCACTGCTCAAAGGCAGCAGGAAGCCATCTTTGAGGCAGGTGCTATGCTTTCCCACCACGGAGAGAGAAGCTGGCAAATGGGGCATGCAGTAATGATTTCCTTTTGGCTGATTATGTTTAGAGGCATTCCAAGTGCAGCAAACCTTTATCTGTAAGATGTTAAGAAAAAACAACACAAAACAAACAAATCCTGAAGTGGTAAAAGAAAGGCAAGGCACCATCTTTACTCTCCCCTCTGTGTGTCCTGCTAGGAACTTTCCTGCATCTCCTTTTGGATGACCCTGACCTGCCCCTTGATAACTCACCAGTCACAGCTGCCTCCTCCTGCTCCCCAGCCCCACCCACTTGCTCCTGCCCTCCAGCCTGGGCTCCTGGACATTTTTTTTTCTGCTCATGGAGCTTATTCAGCACACTCTGGTCTCAGGGCTTCACACTGTCAGTCTTTTTGCCTGGAATCTTCTTTTTGTGGATCTTGGAGCCTGTGTTCTCATCTAGCAGACCTCTCTAAATATCCATCCCATCATGACCACCCACTTAAAACGTTGTCACTTCTCTCTCCATCCTGGGCCTCTATTCTAAGGGCTTGCTTCATTTTTCTCCATTGGATTTATAGTGTCTGAAAGTGCCTCATTTGTTTCAATGTGGTCTGCTTCCCCTAGGTTTTTCCTGTCTTGTTCACAGCCACCTCTCAAGCATGTAGAGGGAAGACTGGCTATAACATTAGCAAGTGGAGTTCATGGTGTTGACAAGGGTCAGTTATCTCCTGTTAAAGATACTCAGGGACACATCTGAGCAGGTTGAGTCTATGGCTGCTCATTGTCACACACACACACACACACACACACACACACACACACACAGAGTGCATGAACAGCCATTCATAAGAGGTTGTGAAGAGAGAACTCGCTCAAACTTTTGGTTCTTAGTAGATCATTTTGCTGGGATTTAGGAAGCAGGATTTTTATTTTATTTTTTGGGGGTTGGCTATTGTCAGGTAGCAGGGGCAATCCCATGGATGTTCTGAATACACCTCCTAAGTAGGTCAGGAAGACTAGACCTAGAAACAAACTATTAGCAGTTGGTAGGTGGCAGCAGCCACTCAGAGTGCCAGGACAGGGAGTGCTCTGTTCATGCGGTGTCCCATTGGCAGTATTTGGACAAGATTACTTCCAGGTCTTGGTTTGTGTCTCTTATCTTCAGTTAGAGCAGCCTGGGGTGGCGTTGCTGCTCTGTGCCATGATACGGGGTAGGCACTACAAAGATCAAGCTGGGGGTGTCGGGCCAGTTTCTGAATCTTGTGGTCTGCTTTCACTGTTCTCACAGGTGTCTCAGGGATGAAGCCCAGTGTCAGAGACCATAGACTTAGGGGTGGCCATTGAACAAGACAGAGGAGGCCAAGGTGGAAACCAGTACACGGTGGTTTGATCTCCAAGTGGGGGTGTTAGTTTGGAAGGCTGTGAGACCTTTATGGGGTGGAGACTTCCTGGAGGAAGTGGGTCACTGGGTGTGGCCCTGAGGTATCCTACAGCCCAACCTCTTTTTCTGTCTGCGCTCTGCTGACCCAGTGAGACCAGCCGCCTGAGGCAGGAAGTTAGTTCACAGTAGGCCAAAGGGGAAAGGGTTCATGCTGCAAACTCCAAGTTACTCACACACGTTACAATGGGAATGGATGTCAGAGTTCAAATAGAATTCTGGGTTTAGAACAGAAAGTCCAGAAGCACTGAGGGCGAGACAAGGACACTTGGAGCTAGGTACAGGCCAGGCCAGAGGACTGGTAAGACTCAAGGCAGACATGCCATGAGAAGCAAGAGCAGCATCAGCGAACTGGCCTGGTAGCTTCCACAAGACCCCAGATCATCTGGTAGACAGGAGACAGCCGAGACACTGCTGCCATTTCTTGGTAGCTGTGACGACAAAGGGACCTTAGAAAAGTGAACAGCATTGAGGACACTCACAGGCCGTTGGTAATACCGACACCCTTACTTTCCCTTTTCACTAAATGTGTCGTGGGAGCTGGCCTCATTTTTCCTTAATTTCTCACTGTTCCGTAAATCTCTCAAGGACATCTACCTTTTCACTCTTACAAGTGTCTTCATCTTTGATCTTTACTGGCATAAGACAATGAACTTGGACTCACTGCCTCGGGCTGATATTTGGTGATGGTAAGTGTCTGGGACCTTGGGACCCTGGGTCAAATCCAATTGGCCGAGAAAGGCTGTTGCTTGTAAGGCCTATAACTGCCTCAGGTGCTCCTACTACCATCCCTTCCCCAACAAATGGACTCGATTCCTATCCAACCATCAGCCAGAATGAAACCTTGGTTTCTTAAGTTGCTTCTTGTCAAGTATTTTGTCACAGTGACTAGAAAAGAAAGCAAGACATAGTTCCTCTGGAAGGCAACTGAAAAGCACCCCTATTTTGTTCAAGAATAAACAGCATCTCATTGCAGGGTCTCAGATTCAAATGGAGGATGCAGTATCTCTCATATCCTGAATAACACGGTTCCCAAGTCCAGGGTCACGTTTAAAAGTCTGCCTGAGCTTTGGGTCTATACACTCCCCCAGATGCCTTTAGGGTTAAGCCCTTCCTCCCTGCATCCCTCTGTTGCTGTACTGTAGCTAATTTGTTTATAATCATCCTTCTGAGAAGACTGTCTCCCTCATGTTTGTAACCCCAGAACTGACTGAGCAAAGAGCTTGGCGCAGCCTGGACTCTCTATAAATACCAAGCGAGTTTAAAATGGAGCTATTTCCTGGCTTGAGTTCACCTCTCCGTGAGTTTATTGATTCTGCACTGTGGGCCAGGAGGACAGTAACAAACGGGGAATTTGTATTCCTGCTCAATACTCTCAGATCCATAATAGCAGCTGGTGTTGACTGAGCCAGTAGTTTACACACATTCGTGATTCTGTGTCTCCATCTTGCTTCTGAAGTCACACAGCTGTGAGAGAGCAGAGCAGGGGTTGTGTGGGACCCCAGTTGCACCATTAGGTTGAACGGGACCACGGACATGCATAGCTCTGCCTTAAATCAGAAAGCAGGGTAAGACTCTAGTTACAGATCTGGAGACATTGGTTTCGAGGAGAACGTAAGTCTGACCATGCTGGGGTTGGGGGACGACTGGGGTTTTCTAGGTATGAGGTTATGCGGACAGAGCTGTCTGCACAGTCTTCCAAAGCAAGAGAGGCTGAACATCTTTAGTCTGTCAACCTTAGCCTTACTAGACAGACATCCACAATGCTCAGAGCAGATGTTCCCTGTCATTTCCTCTCCTCTTCACATCCTGGGGACAGAGAGGGGGCGAGAGTAAAGAAAGGGGAAGGCGAAGAGGAAGGAGGACGGGCTGGTGAGCACCTGAAGGTTGGTAATCTTGCTGCGGACCACGCCCTCGGCCTTGGCCTGGTACACCAAACCTTACTTTAAACTCCCGCCCCCTCTGAATCACCACCAATGCCCGGCCGACGAGCGCTCAGGAGGCTGCGGATTGGTGGACATCTCGGCTGCTGCGGTGACGTGTGGGTCCGTGGGGGGGTCCCCGCTCAGGGCGGGGCTAGGGCTGTCCCTGGTCCCTGGCGCCGCCTCCGTCCGGGTCTCCGCCTCCGGGACCTGCGGCGGTGGTGAGGTCCAGAGCACGGCTTCCCCGCGGGCGGGCGGCGTGATGGGTTGCGGGAACTCCACTGCCACCAGCGGGGGCGCGGGCCGAGGTAAGCGGGGCTGCGGGCCGTGGGTCCCGCGGGGGAGGCGGCTGCAGCGGGGGGCGCGTAGTTCCCTCGCCCACCCCGATTTTCGAGATTAGAGCCCTTCGCTTGCTTCTGGAAAGACAGACGAGAGAGAGAGAGAGAGAGAGAGAGAGAGAGAGAGAGAGAGAGAGAGAGACAGAGACAGAGAGAGAGAGAGAGAGAGAGAGAGAGAGAGAGAGACAGAGACAGAGAGAGAGACAGAGAGAGAGACAGAGAGAGAGACAGAGAGAGAGAGAGAGACAGAGAGAGAGAGAGAGAGAGAGAGAGAGGGAGGGAGGGAGGGAGGGAGGGAGGGAGGGAGGGAGGGAGGGAGAGACGGAGAGACAGAGAGACAGAGAGACAGAGAGACAGAGACAGAGAGAGAGACAGAGAGAGAGACAGAGAGAGAGACAGAGAGACAGAGAGAGAGACAGAAAGACAGAGAGACAGAGAGAGAGAGACAGAGAGAGAGACAGAGACAGAGAGAGAGACAGAGAGACAGAGAGAGAGACAGAAAGACAGAGAGACAGAGAGAGAGACAGAGACAGAGAGAGAGACAGAGACAGAGAGAGAGAGAGACAGAGAGAGAGAGAGACAGAGAGAGAGAGAGAGAGAGAGAGAGAGAGAGAGGGAGGGAGGGAGGGAGGGAGGGAGGGAGGGAGGGAGAGACGGAGAGACAGAGAGACAGAGAGACAGAGAGACAGAGACAGAGAGAGAGACAGAGAGAGAGACAGAGAGAGAGACAGAGAGACAGAGAGAGAGACAGAAAGACAGAGAGACAGAGAGAGAGAGACAGAGAGAGAGACAGAGACAGAGAGAGAGACAGAGAGACAGAGAGAGAGACAGAAAGACAGAGAGACAGAGAGAGAGAGACAGAGAGAGAGACAGAGACAGAGAGAGAGACAGAGAGAGAGACAGAGACAGAGAGAGAGAGAGACAGAGAGAGAGAGAGACAGAGAGACAGAGAGAGAGGGAGGGAGGGAGAGCCGGTGCCCCGTGCGGGGGCGATCAAGCCCGAATTCACCGGGGAGGGCTGTCGCCTGGGTCCTGCAGCCGGACTCTGCACCTTTTTGGGGACCGAGAGTTTCCCGGACACGTCTCGGGTCCCTCACCTCCCCTTCCACTGGCGCCCCCCCAGGCTTCGCCCCCGACCCCTTGGCTCCCAGACCCTGCACCTGGAAAAGTACTGTTGAGCAAGTCAGGACTTTTCTGGGGATGGGGGTGGGGCTGAGTGCCAGCGGGTGAGAGCAGCAGCCCGCTGGGCTCCTGAAACCATCTGCAAGGTTCTCTTTCTTAAGACCCACCGGGCTGCGCGCTTAGGCTCTCACTGAGAAGCTGCGGTAGCTAGATGCTCAGATTCCCGTAATAGAGCTTCGGTACTGTCCTCTTTATTGATGTATTTTCATTTAAAAAAATGTATCTAAACGTGTCTGTACACTGTTTTATTTCGTTGATTGGCATGGAAGGGCTTCTGGGTTTCCCTGGCTAAGTCAGGCTTTGTATCAAGTGACTTACTGTAAGATTCGGGTCTTCTGATTAAACTAGCCCATGTTGGATTTATTTGAGGTTGCTCTCAGCTGACGTATTTTAGCGTCTTTCTGGACAAGGTTCCCCAGCTTCTCTAGCTGAGTTCAGTCGTGCCACAGCCCACCCTAACCAGCGAGTGCAAACAGTACTTTAATCCTGCAGTGTTTACCAAGCTGCCGCGGATGCGCATCCTGCTGCTAATTAATGACTTTGAATCCTTGGGGCTGTCAATTCCCTTAGCCAAGACCTTGAGGCTTAGCAGTTTATTATTGAAGTACTCAGGTTTGAACCCAGGGCCTGATATTGCACATGCTGGCCAGGACTGTATTCCCCATATTGCTTTTTATTTTGAGATGGGGTCTCACTAAGTTGTTGTGGCTCGCCCTGAACTGGCTCTGCTGCCCAGGCTGGCCTTTAACCTGCAGTTCTCCAGACAGCCTCGCTATGAGCTGGTAGAGAAACCTACAACGGCAAGTGTGGCTAAACTTTTAACGTTTGTACAACGGGAGCTATCCTGAAAATCTGTCCAGATTATTGGCCAAATTTGGTCAATTTTTTTTTTTTTTTTGCTGTCAGTGTCATACTTGTGGACTATACTGTTTCAAGTCATGGTTGGGGACAGGGAAGCTAGGCCCAGGCAAAGTTTTTCTGTCCCATGTGACCTTCCCTGTCTTGAATTAAGGCCTCTTTTTGCTATGCAGACAGCCACTGGGAAGCAAACCTTTTGGGGTTCATATAGCAGTGACTCAGCTTAGTTAGTGTCTTATGCAAATGAAGACAAGGTCAGGGTTCAGACTGACAGTGCTTGTTCCTTGCAAGGTGGAATTCAGGAGAGTGTCAAGGCCTCAACAGTTTGTGTCCAGGTCCCAGGTTCTGTGGTTCTGTGTAAACGTATCGCACATGCGCTAGGTTGAAAACAGAAGGGTTAGAATGTAGGATGTTAACAACAACAACAACAAAAAGACTGGAAAAAGGATCCATAACAGATTTCCATAAAAGTGGAGCAAGTTTAGTGCATTTACATTTTTAAAGAATTTAGTTTTATTTTTATCCATGTGTCTGTGTATATGTATGCTATGTGTGTAGGTGCCTGAGAATGCCACAAGAGGGCACCATATTCCCTGAACCTTAGTTACAAGCTGTTGTGATTCTCTGTGTTGGTGCTGGGAACCAAACTTGCATCCTTTGAAAGAGCAGCAAATGCTTCTAACTGCTCCGTGCTTTTACATTTTTGTTAACAGACACCTTATCAAATTTTGGGGGTAGAGGGAGAAGTACCATTGTTAAGTAAAGATTGGGTAGTTCTGAAAGTTCTGAAATGTTAATGTATAAATCGTATTTCGCTGGTAGGTTGGCCAAGCAGTCTAGAAATCATAATTAGGGCTGGAGATGTAGCTCAGTTGATAGAGTGCCTGCTAGCACACACTAAGCCTTGGGGTCCATCACCAGCGCCCAACAAACCGGGTGTGGGTGTGGGTGTGGTGTGTGAATCAGGCAGGAAGATCAGAAAATCAGGGCCATCCTCAGTTGTTCCTTACTTCATAGTGAGTTCAAGCTATCTTAAAACAAACAAGCAAACAAACAAACAAGCTTCCCTGCCCCCAACCATGACTCGTGTTTCTTCTGTCAGTGCTGTAATCTGTCCCTGCAATCCTACACTCAGGAGACAGAGGCAGGAGGTTCACTCCAAGTTCATGGCCTACCTGGTTTGTATGGGGAGTTCCAGGCTAGCCATAACTGTATCTTAAGAAAAAAGTCTGTTTTGGGGGGTCAGGGGATGATTCTCCTTACAAATATTCGATTGGCTTTTTTTTCTTTTTCTGGAGTAGATCTCTCATTGGGTAAAGGGAAATATAGTTACATTGAAAGAAAATCCCTCAAAGTACACATCCTCAGTGATCGCTTTTGTTTGTGAAGGATGAGCATGCAAGAGCACGGTGTTCCCTGGCTTGCCTTTTGACGAAAATTGGGTTTAGAGAGAGCAGGGTAGGGTGTACATGCTGTACACCAGGAGGAGAAGGCCCTGGGAGTGGGTGTGTCTGCATCATCTCTGACTAGGCTCAGCCCCGGGCTTTGAGAAGTTGTTCCCAAACAGCCCCCAGCCTGTGTGTTCAGCTGGCTGGCTTCAGGATTTGGCCATTGTTGTTTTCTGTCAGCTGGTGGTAGGAATTTCAGCTTCTGAAAGGGAAAGCATCGAGATGGGAGCTACAAGAGCAAGAAAGGAATGCCCTAACATGAAGATAAACGACCAGGCCGCAAACCTGATGCTGTCCCGGACCTCTAGGTATGAACAGAGCACAGCTTCTAAAACGTCTCAGGAATTCTGCTTTCAGTATTTCATACTTTTCAGTAGCCACACTGAAAAAAGTTAAATAATTAAAAAGGCAAAGAGAGGAGAAGGAGCGCTGGCGACCTTGCCCTGGGAGTTGAGGCAGGTGCACAGCTGACTTTGGTGCTGCTCCCGGCAGGGTTTCTGGCTCTGTTGCTGTGGTCACTTTGTTTTCTGAGCTCTGGTTCCTTTGTCTATGTCGTGGGGGATGTTTTATCTTGTGGGGGATAGCTGTATGTACCCTGTTTCCTAGGGCCAGTGTGAAACTCCAAATCAGATAACGAAGAGGAACACTGTGTAAAATGACATTACCATACGGCAGTAAAAAGTTATTAGTATGTTGAAAAGAAGATGGCTTCTATAATAGTTTTCTACAAGAAAATGACAAATCTTCTTTGTCTCAACAGGGCTTGAAATCACCATTATAAATGCTTCTTTTAATTTTTCTCTTTTTGAGACAGTTCTCACCATGTATCTCTGGCTTACTTGGAACTTGCTATGTAGAGTGGGCTAGCCTTGAACAAACACATAAACAAATAAACCATTTTATTCCCCTACATATTCAGGCAAATCCAGATAATTATTTCTCTTTTTTCCCACCTATTAGGACCATTGCCGTTCTTGGCTATGGCCTAGTGGACTTGGCTAATATGGCAGATTGGTATGCAGCAGTGGGCTTGCGCCCATGTGACTGTGTGTGCCACATCAGTGGAGAGGCTGGGGTCTGTGGTCTCGTGGCCATGGACAAGGAAACACTGCAGCTCCCTGTGCCCTTGACCTCGAACTTACCAGTGGTCCCCGGAACCTGAGTTTGATCCTCAGAACCCATGTAAAGAAAGCTAAAGAGTGCTGGTGTATATAGTCCCCGTACTGGGGGAACCTCCTGAGGTTGACCTCTGACCCCCACATGCACATGCATGCACTCAGGAGGGCATTCACTCACATATACAAGTCATGTAGCTGTACACTATTAAGTGAGTCTTTGGAATGTAAACCAGAAAATTCCTTTTCATGTAAGTCAGGAAAGTCCCTTAAAAGTTCCAGTGGGAACCTGGGGAGACAGCCCAGTGGTTAGAGCATTTGCCATACGGGTGTGAGAACCAAACCCACATAAGTGCTGGGTGGGTGT